AAGTCGTAAATATTTCGTCAGTCCATCCAGGCATATAACCTTTCTTAAATTGATGCTTCACTTTACTAATACGTACTTGATCGCCTACTTTGAACTGAAATTTTACTTGAGTGGGTGGTTTGTAAATCAATGAATGGCACACAAACGAAATCTTCGTGTGATAATTTTTAGCAGTGTAAAAATTGTTTTGTCGTTATTGACAGAAAGAAACGTAATCCCGAATTTCATCGTTGTGGTGAATTCATATGTGTAGAATGTAAGTGGTATGTCTTAAACAATCATTTATGTTTTCTCCAGGACAAAGATCCGTCACATAATGCCACATAATTATAAACTTTTATACAAATTCGGACTTCTATGTTACATAAATTTAACAAATATATAAAACATTTGAAGAATATCTTAGTTACAGTCTCCAGATAGTAATAACAAAAAACAGAAAGAGAACACATTGCACACTAACTGGAGACATTTAGCAAAATTATCAGTTTGTTTTAGAGCAAAAAGACATTGGGCTATCTGCTGTATCCACCAGGGGGATCGAACCCCGGATTTTAACATTGTAAATCCGTAGACTTACGGTTGTTTCACTGGGGGACAGTAGAGTTATCAGACTTTCGTCTTCTCATCTTTACATAAACTACTTATATTACTGCTTGCAAACCATGTATTATTAATTACTGTAGTACTTAATCGTAGGGATCGACAAGGTTTCTAAATAATTCACGCGCCGAAAAACCACCCAATTGAATTCCTAAGCGAAAACCCGACTATTTAAAGTATTGGTTACTAATAATACGCTAAAAATGTCGATAACATTTACGGTATAACACTTCAAAAATTTCTAAAACATCAACTTTTTCGTCTACTACCTACTAGAACACGTCAGTGGAACTAGCCCCTAGTAGGCTCGGACTATCGCTACAAGATTTCTCCAGCTAACTTGACTGGTTGTGGGTATCCGCTTTTGATATTCCGACAAATATATACAGATTTTCAGTAGTTATACGGTTACATATGTAGCAGCAGGTTGTTGATAAAACTGCAATGTTATAAATTAATTATAACCAACCTAATGTTCTTTGAATTTCATTTCTAGCATTATGTTTTTTCACATATCAGTCTATAATACAGTCATATAAAAGGAGGAGAAATACAGCAAGCATCTCACATTTCAAAAGTCTTCTAAATGCTCTGGGTTATTGGCTTCAATTTATTCATTATATATAATGCATTTACTTGTTACATGCTACATCTCGACAATGCTTTTATCCGTAAAAGACAACATGAACTTCACAGAATTGAAAATATTATATGTATCCAAAATTACTTCACAATCTCTAATGACCATTGTAGTTTCTTTATATAAATTATGAAAAATTTGTCAAATTTTTCTGACATATTCTGAAAGTTAGTATTAAATGTATGCTGTGATTCTTTTGGGGGCTAACAAAGAAAATGTTTGTTTTCAAACAGTAAATGTTTTGTTTATACAACACACTTCTTATAGTGCAGTCAAGGCATTTTCTATATTTTCTTATTGACACTGTTAGTTTCTTTTTACCTTTCAGATGATGTTGCCTACACGCTTTTGGAAGAAGATGAACTGACAATGAGGAGAGATTCTACACTTGATAATGTCATCATGGTTCCATCTATTCCTGTGGGAAATCTGTGGAGAGGCAAGAGGCCTTATTTGTGTCAGAGAGGGTCATACATCTCCCGCTAACAAAATCACTTCCCTTTGAGATTAGTGTCACATTTCTCCTTTCTGCTATAAATCCTCAGTGTCCACTATTAGATGACACTGTAATAAATGACTTCACGTTTGTGTTTCCAGATGTGTGTGTGTCTACATTTATACAAATTAAAAAATGTATATTATTACCTCAATACCAGGGACTTAAACTTGAAATATCAAAAGAAAACTCAAATAATTGTAGCTTGTAGATACCATATACTATCCATGGTGACTAGTGAATTTTCATTTATGAGTGAATGGATAACGACAGCAACTGGCAAAGGCCTTTTTTTTCTTTTTTAAGGGTTAGTTTCGTAATACACATCTTAGTTCTGGTTTTTATACTAACTTTCATCATTGTTATATAGTGCTGATTTAATTGCCAATATACATTGGATGTAACTTATAACAGCACATAATACTATTGTATATATGTGTGTGTGTGCATTCACCAGTCACCTTGGGTAGCATATGGTATCTGCAAGCCACAATTATTTCAGTTACATTTCAATATTTCAAGTTCAGGTCTCTGGTGTTGGGACAATAACACAATTTTAAATATATGTCTTATAGGCAGTTATTGAAATAGCTATAAAATCAGTAAAGAAAATAACAGGATTATGGCAAACCACTGGAACCATAATATACTGATTCTATCAGTAGCAGAGCAAGCCAATAATAAAATAGTTTTCAAACACACTAGAGCACACAACTAAAGTTTTAGAGGGCCTACAGTATAAGGATTGAATGTGTAAATGAATTTAAAAAGTGTTGAATCAATACATTATAGCCCTGTAGATCAGTAGTTGACATAGTCAGTGTACTGACTCAACATATAGTGGAAGTCAATACATTATGACCCCATTGCATATCAATCAATAAGGCCATAAATGCATTGACTATTCAGAAGCTTCATGCATTACAGTCTCAATGACCTGCCATGGAAAAATGTGTTCTTTTTATTAATTTTAATAAAAATTGTTGTAAAGAGTTTCTGTAAGTTTTCCACTTGGAAAAAGATTTATTTAAAATATATGTATTGTGGAACTTCTTATTAGCTGTGGTATAGAAGGGGTTTTTAAGATATATTTGTTAGTAAAACTTAATAGTCCAAAACAATCTTTCTTTGAGGTAAATCTTTAGCTATTTTAGAATTATCTAAGCCACATTATAGGTACTCTTTCAGGTAAGTATTCTGATGATACTGCAGTTGAGTTGCTTGATATATTTGACCTCCATTCCCACACCATAAATGCTGAGAGAACAGACCTTGAAGCTGGACAATGTAAACCTTATTGTAAAGCCAGTCTACTATGCACAAATGCTTATGAGAGGAGTGCCAGAAGTAAGGAGAGTAAATATTTGGTAAAGGATGTCTGAACCTTGATGTGCAGAGCTGTATGAATGTCTTTGACCAACTCCACAAAGTGCAACCAACCACTTTCTGACTAAGTATAATGAGGTCTTACTTACAAATTCTAAGCACAATGTCATCATATGGTTCAAACATTTCATCCAGTGCTTAGATGATGAAGGCCTTAGTCACTTCTTGCACTACACAACAGGAACAAATACCATGTCCCCCTCTAGAGATTATGTGGCCCAATGCTGGAATTGAGCTCATTATACATATCAGCCAGTGAGTTTAAGATGGAACTCTGCAATGTTGTCTTTAATGAAGTACTGTGTGAGATGACACTAGCTTGATAATATTAAATATTGTAATGTAAATGCCTGTTAATAAACTATGAAAAGGGACACAAGCTTATAAAGAGATCACTTGTTTTCATCATGTTCAAGAGCAATGATTTATTAGTAAGTTGATATGACAAGTTATAACCTCATGATATTATCTGACCAATGAATGGAGATAAGTGCTTTCTACTTTCATACACTAGATGCAGCCTTAAAGACACACCTTCAATGAGCAGACCCAGTTTTTATTTCAAGGGAATGACAAAGAACAAAGATAGCTGGAACAAAAGCAATCTTTCTTCACCAGGTGTTTCATAGAAACAACACATACCTAGAACAACTGAAAAACTTCTAAAAATTCTATATTAAAACAAGAAAGCACAAACGCATGGCACAACTGCATACCACAATAACTTTTACATGATTTAGGATGCACATTCGTCCATCATGCTTTAAAATATAGTCCTACTTTATTGAACATGATACTTGTTTACTTAAAAAACTGCCCAACAAAGATTAATGGTATACATATGTTGACGATGTTTCCTATGTCAGTCTTCACAAAGCACTCTTAACTGTTTCCTGTATTTGGCTGCCACCTAGGACTTAACCACTGCTGCTTTAAAATGTAGATAAAATACTTTCTTCTATTGTAATTCTTCTCAGCTTACTTCAGTACTTGGTATATTGCTCAACATTGATGGTCGTAGAAGACCCATGCTGATGCTTTGTTTTTATATTGTCATTAAAATCTTAATGTCTTGAATTACAGCATCTTTGGGGTGCAGACAAGTATATTCATCATTTGGTATTGAAAGCTATCATTTACTAAAAACTGATTAAGGATGTATTTTAAATGACTCAGCTTCTCCTTGTCTTCATTGAAGCATGAGTTAACCATGTGATAGAGCTCTGAATTTTGGATCTGGTGAGCTTGGTTTAAATCTGTGGCACACCCCAAAATTGTTTCCACACCCCAGGGCTGTGGGTGAGTTATAAGTTTAACTTATACAAGGGAAGGTAAAATCCTACTGTGTAGTTTGATAAGAGTAATCTCATGTTGGTGGTGATTAATAACTGCCTTCCCTTTAGTCTACCACTTCAAAATTACTTTACAGATATTATAATATTATGTTTTTATAACTGCTGTTTCCTAATTCCATGTATCTGTAATAGGATTATCTCAAGAAACTATATTAGAACATTCTTACCATATAATTTTAGTCAACTACAATAATATTCTGTTCTGTATATTCATAATATTAACTTTAACTTTCTATTCTTTACATATATATATATATACATAGATGTGTACTTGTTTCTGATTTCTATTTATCAGAAACTGAAAAAATTCAATAATACTAACTTTATAGCACCATTAGCACTGTTAACACTGCATAATTCAATTTCAAAATCAACACATGAGCTTCTCACGGGCATACCTTGTGGAAGAATTATTTATTCCTTATCAAATTGTTTTTTATTTATGCTTTCTTACCTAACCTAATAAGTTTCTAATTTTTACATTGTAGTTACTTTTATAACAACAAATAAAAATATGCATAAAAAACAAGAAATTTATGCTTACACATGGGTTTTGTACTTTTTGTAGTTGAAGACTTAAATGTTGATAAAAGTTAACCTTAATTTTTCGACGGTTTAATTTACTGAATTTTATTTCTTTCAAATGTAGTACACAAAACAATAACTTGCAAAAGCACACAATGTCTTATACCTATTATAATTTAACTGGCTTTCTAACTAAGCTATAAGTGTGTTAAAATAATTACCTTAGCTGGTTGAGCTGAACTCACAAAAGTAACTGTGAATCTAAACATCAAATAATTCAAAGGCTGTTGTGAGAATGAGCTAGCATTATACATAAATCTGTAAATTAAAATCTTCCCTTTCTGTTGGTTGTAAACAATGTAACAGTAAACATCAGAGATAGAATTATTATTATTTGAAGTATGTGATAAGAGGATATGGCATATGGGTTAGAGTTTCTGGTTTATATTAAGGTAAAAATAAGATAATTGGAGCCTATAAAGTTAGATTATGTCTTAGCAATATCTGTAATATAAGTTCATAAATTGTATTAAAACTCAGAATTCAAATATGAGTGAAAACATTATCTAAATTGTGCAACTTAAAGCAAACAAGTATCATGTTATATAGAAAAGTAAAAATTGAGAATTTCTTTAAATACTTCCATGTGAAATTAAAACTTATCAGATATCAAAATTTGATTCATTAACTACACTTTCATGCCAAGTTTATTGACACAGATTAATAATAAAGTAGATAATTAAGGTTTGAATATAACTGTAAAAAAGATTGTGACATGTATCCAGAGAGTTAATTGTTACCAATCTCAAAACTCAAGAATTTTACTTGCTTCCTAAATTAGGAAATATAAGATGCTTCATCATTTCAGCTTGTAACTACCCCAGTAAGCAGGTTTCACCTTTCATATTTCTTGTAACTACCCCAGTAAGCAGGTTTCACCTTTCATATATTTCTTGTAACTACCCCAATAAGCAGGTTTCACCTTTCATATATCTTGTAACTACCCCAGTAAGCAGGTTTCACCTTTCATATATCTTGTAACTACCCCAGTAAGCAGGTTTCACCTTTCATATTTCTTGTAACTACCCCAGTAAGCAGGTTTCACCTTTCATATATCTTGTAACTACCCCAGTAAGCAGGTTTCACCTTTCATATATGATATTTTTAAATCTGCTGTTTTGCCTCTTCCTAGTTATATAAAAGATAGAACAAACTATTGAAAATGTTAACAACTTTCAGTTTTCTGGTAATGATTGTTATATATTTACTACATACACTATGTCACTACAACAATTCTAGGTCAAGTGTTTTACAAGTTACATATTTTTACTTAATGTTACTTGGTCAGCCCATTGCCAATAGTATAATCAATTACATTTTGATTCTGTTGATCATACTAGTTTCATATGACCACCAGTTAAAGAGGAATTATATATTTATTATTGAAAGTACCTTAAAATGTTGTATTTTCCATCTATGTGCTGAACAAAATTCAGTCCAGTAACGATATACATCCTTGCTGTTTTGAGTGAGTTGATCCAATTGCTGTCTCTTCTTGGTCTAGTTGCAGCATGCAGAATCAAGTAGCTTAATGAAAATTATATAATAAGAAAGGAAAAGTAGTTAATAACATGGTATCTCACAAAATATGAAGTAGATACTAATTATAAATTACACAAAACATTATAATACAGTGATCAAGTACTGTACCCACTATATGAAAGACTAATAAATAATTAAAACATTTCAATATGTATAATGAAGTTTATTTCGGTGAAAATATAAATGAGCCTAATAGTAATAAGGATTCATAATCAATGATGTTTCAACTAACATTCAAAATAATATTAAATAAAATATGTCAGCTGATTGGAAATATAGCAATAAGAAGCATAAACAACCTTCAATATGTTTTAAAACCATATACTTATAAAAAGCTTATTATGTTTTTATATATATAACAACTGTTGCAAAGTAGGCCTATCGTAGTTCTTCAGTCAACAACTTACTAGAATAGGCTTATCGTTGATACTTTTATTATTAAAGGACGTAACGTGAAATGATTATTCTGGTGAATATCTAAAATACGGAAAATCTCATGGTTTAAAATTCACCAAAATATGAGATTGTTGGAAGGAAGATATTCCGTATGCAGTCTCATAAACAAAGGTTTTGATGCAAATCTTCATTTTTTAATTTTTCATATGGATATGCCTAGTTTCCATTATCAACTAGAAGTATTTAAGCACTAACATTGACATGGTCTAACATTTAATTTTTAACCACAGTTACCACGAATCTTGTACACAATAAAAGAAATCTGGATTTACCACGATAGTCTTACTGGCTATTTCGACAACTCGTAGAGTCAATATCACCCTGTTGCCAGTGTTGAACACCTACACAGATGCGTTATAATAGCATAAGTTGTTGAGTCAAATACGTTATGGCTTTGTCGAACACTGATCTACGGAACCAAATGCATTCATCAAACGAGTTTGAAAATTGAAAATTATGCTACTGTTGGTTTTCTCGGTAACAGGTCGAACGTGATGGTTTCTACACACGTCATTTTGAAAATTTTACTAGATGTCTCCGTCCAATGTGCAGTGTGTTTTTTCTTGTTGTTTATTATATCTTTATTACTTTTTAGATTCTATTATGTAAGATATGAATGTTCTAACGTTCTGTATTTGTCAGATTTTTGTAGCCTACAATTTCGGATGTAAATACAGATTTATCATTATGTTTCATTATTTAACAAAAAAAAAGGGTAAATTTAAAAATGACTGCTACAAAGTAATACCCATTTCTATACTTTGTAATGAAAACGTTTTCGTTTAAAGAACATTTATGAAGTAACTTAGTTTACGCTTAAAATCGAAGATAAACAGCACTGTCTCACGACATCAACAATGTTCATTTTCGTGGTCCTGACATAACGTGCGTATAATAAAATAATTAAGTACCTATCTGTATTTTAATTTTGACCATGTTGGATTTGAGTTGTGCATATTGTATTACCCAAAAGGTTTTTCTGAACTTTAACTTGAGCATAATTTATTAAGTTATTAATTTGATTTCATTTCAGTTTCAGATATGTTTGTTTGTTTTGTAGTTTATGTACAAAGCTACACAATGGGCTATCTGTGCTCTGGCCACTACGGGTATCAAAACCCGGTTTCTAGAGTTGTAAGTCCACAGACATGCCGCTGTGCCACTTGGGGGCATTTCACATAAGTAGATTTAACTACTTATAACTATGGTGCACTTTTAAAGAGAGTAATGTGTAACAACAATTATATGTTGTTGTTTTCTCTGAATATAAACGTTATGTTGCGTCAGCGAGGTCACGTGACTAGTATCACGCCACGTCCTTCTCGAACCTTCGTGAATTGTCAGGAGACTACTAGATTGGGGGTAGTTTGGTATATATAAGACAGTCACAACGTGACGGGAGAGAATGAGTAATTGAGCTGCAGTCAGAGAGAATATTGTTGAGCATGTGAGACGTTTGTTTGAATTATACGCGACTGTTGAAATTAAGTGTATCGCAAAGTTATATTCAGGAAGAATAAACCAGTTTTATTTAAGAAAGGACTTGTGTCACTAAAGTTTCGTCGGAACGAATTTACGGAAAATTAACTAACGAACGGAGACGTAACAGTTATTTCCTCAACATATAAAATACACATGTATACAGAAGCTTTTTACTATGCACTATGTTAAAAAGCTCACACGTTTTTTACTAAAATTATAATACACTTAAGGTATTACAGAACATTTTGAAATACAGCTTGTAATCCTATTTTAAATAATTTATTTAATTAAAAATAATTTGATTTTTTATTAATTTCATGTGTATGTTAAAAACGCTTGCACGCGCTAACCTTTGACCATAAGTAATTTCTTTCTCTGAGGTGTCAGTTTACCCAGTTTTTTTTTCTTTTCTTTCCATGTTCATACAATTTCTAACTGACTCTTGTACGTATTTCTTTAATTCCTTATCATGATTGATAACAAGTTTACTTCTTACGCTTTGAGCCATAACTTTCCATTATCAATAAAATATATATTTGCTACGTTATCAACCATGAGCTGGTGGTTTGGCCATTCGGTTCGCAATTTGCGGGTCGCGATTTCAAATCCTGTTACCGAACATGTTTGCACTTTCGGTCGTAGAAGCATTAAAATGTGATGGTTAATCTCACTATTCGTGGGTAAAGGATAGCACAAGAGTTGACGGTGGATGTCTTGACTAGCTAACTTCTCTCTCACCTTTCATTTCAATAATTTCCACGGGCTATTGTAGATATAACTTTTGAGTTACAGAAAAATTATATGTCCTCTCATCACTAACATTTGAAGTTCAATATTTCTTTGTTTACAGATCAAGTATGAAACCGAATATTGCAGGATTGGTTGATTATTTTTTATCGTAATTAACAAACGTTAATATATTTGATTCAAAAACAAAAATATCTTTCCAGAGAAAGACTTAAACTGATCTTTAACTTCTTTTACTTATTTTCAAAATATTGGTGTGAATATATTTCTGAGAACAACAGCTTATTTAATATAATGCTCAATAGCGTGTTTATTTGTAATAATTTTTTAACTATAAGTTTGGACTATTTTAATACGTTGGATAGATACTGTATGAAGAGTTCTTAAACACATTACTGAAAAAATATAAGTACGAAATTATCAACAACTTTAAACACGTATAATGTTCAAACCTACACATTTTTGCTTTTTAGCAGTTGAGAGTGAAGACAGTTTTCCCCATTTATTGTTTGTTGTTTAATTAAAATAAAGCTATGGAATTGACTGTCTTTGCTGTGCTTATCATAGGTATCGAAATTCAATTTTTAGCATCATAAGTTCAGAGACATTCTGCTGAGCATTGGGGTAGCATTGAAATGCTTGTATCGGAACTTGGATACTTTTTAAGTTTATAACGAAAAAGACTGGATTTTTTCTTTAAGCGATGTACTTAAAAACAACATATACTTAATTAAGTAGATAATCAAAATTACATTGTACACTTTGCTCCGTCACAACTGAAAAACAATAAACCACTACAAGTTCAACACTTTTGTTGCTTCATGAGAATTTTATTTTCGAGATAGAGGTGTTAAACATATCTAACAAAAAAAGGTGACGACATATTCAAATTATTGTTTTTCGGTAATATGTAGATGCTCTTTCTCGTCAGATGTTAAGTGATCCGTTGAGGCTGTAAATATCAATTACATTAAAATAATTAGATATCAATGTCAATTCACTTAGAATAGAACTAATAGCATTACGTTCAATATATTAGAGAAATTATTTGATAACAAATATGATAGAAGACAAAAAAAAAAAAACTAGCGAATGTTATCAAATTATAAAATAGGGACAAAAATTTGTTATCCTTAGATTGAATAAGCTCCTACATTTTACCTTAATAGTCGTGGAAGTGCAAAGTTTAAAATATTTATCGTACGTAACATCTATAAGCTAGTTTCCATGTTGGGTAAAATAAAGTTTATATCTTTTAAATTATTTGTATGTGATTACTTTACTGGTTAACATTTCTTCAATGATGTCGTATTTTGTTCAATCGTACAAAGTGTTGCTATATATATATATATGTATGGGACGTAAACAGGACACAGTTGTCTTTGGTGTCAAATAAGCGTATAATGTTCATCGTCTCAGAATTGTTATCCTAAAGTGTAGTGTCCCTAAGGCTTCATTGCAAGGGTTACCTGTGTCATTCTATATAAAATAACACAGTTATTCTGACTGGTTGCTTTGGTAGTTATCAATCTATAAGGCGTAATAGAGTGGATACACTTTGGTTTTCTGTAATACTGTTTCTTACATATTAAATTATTTGAAATACATTTTTAAAAGGAAAAGAATACGTTTGAAACACACCAAATTAAACCGGTGAAGGAATTGAATATCTCAGTTCTAGGGATATGTCGATTTTGTCATATTCCACGTTTAGGGAGCTTTATCAATTTATTTAAGGAAATGTGGATTTCGAGTGAAGAGAAATAGAATATTTCTGGCCATCCCTGGTTGTCTCTCTCGATTTACATTTCAATTTTGAGAGATTTCAAACTAAAATACTTGCCATGATTGGATTGGATATCAAATGTCCTTTAAGCCTTATTTTGAAAATATCGTACTAAAAGTAAGATCTAAGTTCAACTTTAATAAATAACTATATACTTTCGTAAATTAATAAATTTGGAAAATAAATAATCATTAAAATACCAAGCTAATATACCACGAAAGCAAAAGAAATATTGAAACAAAGTTAAACATGTTAATTAATAGTAATATTTACAATATATTGTTAATGGTTATGGCATTTTTTACTTAAAGTAAAACCTGTGATACATGAATAGTTACTACAAAGTCTAACCGTTTGAAACTATAAAACATTTTTAAGTATTCTTGTAGATAATAATGTTTATACTCTTTTTAGCACATAAGATGTTCAAGTCCAGAGATAGTTGTTTAATGTATTACCATCATAGTTGTATGTTTAACCTCATCAACTTACATATTTAGAAACAGTTGTCAATCATTTCAGTGAGTGTAGATTCTGGATCCACTCGAGCTGCTAGAAATTTCTCGCCAAAACACTTTCTGACTTCCTGCATGCATAAATAGATGAGGCTTAACGTTATTTCAGATATTACCGAAGTAAAAGTTTTAACAAGCATAAACATGCTATTGTTTAAATCTTTAAATCAATTATTCTCTTACAGTGCCCTAGGTGACTGTAAAGTTCGTTCCTGTATTTGGTTCCTTATAACACACATGTTAGCGGAATTATGTATACATACACGGTATCATAGGGAACATAGTTCCAGTACTTGAAGACTGTTTCTTCTGAATTTTACCAAGTTCCACTATGCGCACTATTTCCGGAGACAGAGTCCAATCAGGGACATTTTCTACTGATTCATGTTTTCAGTTGTATTATGTCTTACTTTATTTTGTTTGTATGTGGGGGTGGGGGACTGTTTTACGACTGTCATGTCTAATGGGTTAACTATAGCTATTTTTGGTACTTTTAAGTCTAATGAATATCATTTTACTTTTTAACTTCATATCCAACCTGTCAGTCATTTGGTGTCTGAGCGATTTATAATGCTAAAATCCAGAGATTGATTCGCCGCAAAGAACACAGCACAAGAATTCCCTTTATGTAGTTTTGAGCTTAACAATAAACCACAAACAGTCGCTCAGCTTCATATGTTCTTTCGCATACTAAACTCTACATGTCCTTTCATTTAACATATGACAATTTTTCTTCGATAATAGAACCCCGAATCATCATTATTGCAAAGATCAGGTAACTGTGTGTTATGTTTATCTTTGTAATACCATACATCTACATTGTTGTGTTTATGTTTAATCAAATTAATAGTTAACTATAGTTAGTTAGGTAGTCACTTTTTAAACAAACCT